GTAGTACGGCAGCCGTTGTAAGGACTCGATCCAGCCGCCCTAAAGTTTTAGCGAAAAAATACCGGCGCCCTTTAAAAGCTCACAAGTAGCGGGGTCGATGCATGATAGTCGTCTTACGTACCGGTATGACATATTGCCAAGACCACCAAGCAGAGGAAAGCGTACATATCAGTGCCTTCCTCCTGACGTGGGTACATAACGGAGGGGAAGACGGCATGAGGAAGGAAGAGAGTGGGGTAGAGTGGGGAACCAGAAAGGGGTTCAGAAGGGCGTGGGAGCGAGGGCCATCTGCCTGGCTTAGGACCATGTCCGCGAACAGGGCCAACGGGCCGCCGCGGCAAACCCACCCGTCCGCGGGGGTCCGTGATTTTGCGGGGGGCACCGTGGTGAGAGACCAGGCAACTCCTATCCTATGCCCATATGATAACCATAGCAGAAGGAAATGCAGGAAAAGGATGAACAAATTATAAGCAGGAAACCGAAAACAACTACAAGCACTAAGGCAAGCAAGCAAGCAACGGAAGGCAACGAGATGCGAAGTGTGAAAACAACTATACATGTAGACAGCACAAGCAGCATAGGGACAAGACACCATATGCAGTGGGTAGAGTGGTAGGGCACAACAGCAGGCAGCGACAACAGCAGGGGCAGCAGCATGGCAACGCAAATGTATTGTGAGACGAAACAAGCTAAAGATGGCGGACGCGTCCTACGACGACTGTAGGCCACCGTGGGAAAGGAGGCGATGGGCAGCAGCACGGCAGCGCACACACGCCGGCAGGCACAGACACCGGAGCAAGCAGCCCAGGCCAGGCAGCGAAATGCAGAACTTAGTAGGGCAGATGCCAGACACCGCCAGATGCAGACACCGGAGCAAGCAGAAGCATTCCGGCAATGGGAGACAGAGTGGCTTAGAGCATTTCGGCGAGTAAGAATACAACAGCAAGGAGCAGCAGCACGGCAGCAGGAAACAGGATGGCGACGAGAAGCCTGGCAGGCAGAGGCACAACAGGCAGCAGAGCAGGCAGCAGGAGTACCATCGGCGCGAAGCAATGTACGCTGGATGATGGAACTCATGCACCTAACATCTGGCCAGCATGGTGTTGGGCCTGATACTCCTGAAGAGCAGGTTCTATGCGGCCCAGCAGGTGCTGCTGTAGCGGATGAACAGGAGATCCTGTTAGGAGCAAGGGGATTGACAGCAGATGTGCAGCTAGCACTAGGGCTGCAAGCGGCATTGCGGCGGCATGCACCCACGGCGGTGTGCACAGCGTGTGGGGATGCTGCAGGCCACCAGGCAGGTCGGTGCCCCCGGCGGCCCTGGGCAGCTGCGCGCCCTCTCTATCAGCTGCTGCGTGCCGACATGGGGTGGACAGAGGAGGTGCCACGTGAGGGCCACACTTGCTGGACGCGCCCTTACTTTGACAGTAGGGGAAGCCTGGACACCTCGCCATGGCCGCCTCCACGAGCATAAGGCCAAAGTCAACCCAGGTGGCGCAGCAGAACAACCATGGTATGCATGCATGCAGAAGCAGAGGACGCAGCAGAGGAGGGGAATGCTGGAGATGTACGGGCTGCACACCACCGCCAACAGCATGAAGCAATTGCAGAAGTGGAGGCAGCATCAGGGAGGATGGACATGGAGGAGCACTCAGGCACCCAGGAAGCAGAGGAGGACGAGGAAGGTGTCTTACAGCAAGAGCTTGGCCACAGACCGCAGCAGCAGGCAGCTCCAGCAAGGCAGGAACCAACACCCACACCAGCGATGCAAGCACCCCCAGACACACTCACATGCACCATGCGGACGACACCGGGTGCACAGCATGAGAAGATCAGAACCCGTGCGTGGCCAGGTGCTGATGGACAACCAGAGGCTGTACGCGTCAGTGATGGCTGCCATCAAGCAAAAGTTGTGATTAGGCAGTTGTGAAACACAAGCAAGGAAAACAGGAAAAGCACACTATACCCCTCCCAAACCAACATGTACACCATACATGTAACTCACATGCCTCCCACCCCCACTGGCCAACATGTGCCTGAATTCGCAATAGCCCGCATTGACCCAGGGGGCGTGCCTGAAATAGAGGGCAATCTCCTGCTGCGAGGCGCAGCTGATATCCGTCCCCTTACGTGGCGTGGATGTCACTGGTGTACATCCGCCGGGCATGCAGGCATTGATGTCAACCACCCAGCGAGCAGACAGGAAAGAGACATGTCATTGCATGGGAAAGTGCGCCTGCAAACCAGCTAGTGTCCCAGGTGGTGCAGCGCCTGCCTTTGCACCCTGACCGGCTGGACCAGCTCATCCGAGTGGTCTTTGAGGAAGTAGCTGCAGCCAGAGCCCGCACAGCCAAGTGCCTGCAGGTGCGCGCAAGTGCGGTCATTGCGTGGGCACTCCGCATCTGCAGCGTATTTGGGCTTGAGCTGGACAATGCAGCTATCGCAGCCCTCCAGGCCCTTGGTGCCGAGCAGGGAGTGCCTCGGGGCTACCGAGTACTTTTTTAAGTCTCGCCTACCACGAAGTCCTAACACAGTATACTAAAATGAAATATAACATTAATGACGGCGTTTCTAAACCTGCTGAAGTCTACCTCTGCAGAAAGATACAAGCTTATAAAGTACTAAATCGGGTGCTTAAATCGGCGCTAAATCTGGGCATTTCCAGATTTAAGGTGTATTTAGGCTAAATCGGCCGCACTAAATCTGACTGGAAACAGGCTCTAAAATATTCACCCAGACGGCTCGCAAGTAGTTCACAGACCCAAACCAATTCGCAACGCTATAGATCCCGATAAATACACGATCACATACACCTATTTATTTGACGTGACTACAAGCTTTTAGCGGTATGCGGCGCTCTTATGAGTGGCCTTTCTTATGTGGCGATGACCTAAATTAAGGCGACCTGAGCCCCAGCTTTGGTATGCGGTTGACAGTAATGAAAGCTATCTGTTTAGCGAAGATGGGGACCATGACAGTGACACTTTGCCGTTGGTGACGGACCCTGCTGAGCGAACTAAGTTTGCTTCCGCAGCTGCTCAAGCAACACCACTTACCATTCTACTATCTCAAACTTCGACTTGCGCTCGCAACCCGTCAAATTTATGGCAAGTCGGTCAAAGCCTCACTTTCTCCCCCCCCCCGAGGGTGTTATCATTTTTTGGAATCCAGTATTCGACTGCTGAACTCGCGCCAGTGAGGGAAAGGAAACCACCGGTTGCCTTTATGCCGTGTCCTGTATACTTTGACGCGATGGTGTAGTTATGCTGGGCCCCAGCAGCTCCAAACGCGTTCGCCGCTCAATGGGCGGTTCGCCTCGGGTGCAAAAACGTACATGGCCCGCCCCCCCGCCCTTACACTGAGCATACGCATATCGAATGGCGCTAGCTTTGCGATGCCTGCTTGCACTTTGGCAAATGGGTCCCTAACATGGTCGCCAACATTGCTGTCCTCAAGCCAACAGTTCCTTCAAAAGAGTACTTCTATAGGCAAAGCCTTTAGAGTTATTGTACTTCACGTGATTTTGTGACCCAGGAAAATTGTCGTCACGACTTTCAGCGCAATGTGAACTGCATTTGCATGCTGCGATACGCCTACCTAAGAACGAATTCAACACAGCTTTATTAATCGGCATACGTATGCGCAAGGAAAGCATGCATACTTGAAAAGCTAACCAAGTTTGTTGTCCGTTGGTGTCTGGGAAAACTATTGCAGACACACGCGGACACGAAGGCACTCTTATAGAATGCTCTTCAATAAAGAACTGTAATCCGTATACAATAACGTGTTCAAGAGGTGAGACGCGCGAACAACACGCGTGCGACCCAACCTAGTGTTGCTAACATTGAACTCTGGTGCAACCCCTTCTACTTTTACTGCCATATACGACAAGCCGTTACTTACATTCTTTGAAGCAGTGCTTTCGTGACGCAAGCTAGTTACCTGACTCGCAATGGAGAACGGAGCACCAGTAGTTGCACATGTGCAATGCGTGTGTTCTTCGCGCACATGGGCCGAGGAGCGATAATCGCAACGTGCGGCTACCGTGGGAGACCGTTGCCACTTGTAAATGTGCGCGTTTGATGGATGGCCACCCGTTGCTCCTGCCCATCAAAAAGGGAACAACATTGATTAAGCATGCACAATGGCTGTTCTTGATGCACATGAGCCGATCAGCGATAATGGAAACGTGCGCTACCATGGGAGACATCGCCACGTGTAGTTGTGCACGGTTGATGGATGGCCACCCGTTTCTGCTGTCCATCAAAAGGGAACAGCATCAATTGCGCATTCATGATGTTGCTGTTCTTGCTGCATATACACCATTCGATATGCGTATGCACAGTGTAAGGGCGGGGGGGCGGGCCATGTACGTTTTTTGCACGTGGAGCCGCTGGGGCCGGCATAACTACGCCACACGGCGTAAAGGCAACCAGTGGATTTCCGAGGAACAGCAGCGCTTGCCTTCCTTACTACTGCTGTTCTTTGCCCTGAGCATAGACGTATAGAAGCAAGCATCGTTAACAACTGGCCAGCGTGCGGGTGCCCAGCACTTCGTCAGGGGGGGAAGAATTCACCGCCCCCCCGCTGACACACCCAGGATTAGTCGAGGGGGGGGGCTCGCTGTAAGTCCCAAGTCGTTTCGGCCCCGTGGTTGCAAAGTTCCCAATGTGAACGAAGTCTGAGGCCGAAACTGGTCTGCGCCTCATGCGGCTTTAGTGACTATAACACTCAAATTCCTAATGTGAATAGCCCCGAAGCATCAATACGAATACATCGCAAAGAAAACAGAACATCGTCAAATCACGCAACAATACGACAAAATACGATACCCTCTACACCCAACATAAACATTCGCGAGAACTAAAACACCACTTAAAAATCGCTCCGGGCAGCGTAACGCATTGGAGCGCTTCATGAAATCATGTAGCCAGTACGACCAGAAACCAACGTATGTGCCCATAGATACAGCGGTAACGCTTATTATAAAGCAAGTATTTTGGGGTACCGATATAATACAAATTGGGAGCTTGCTTGTGAACGGCCGTGATCAAGAGCCATTTACCGAAACGGACGCTTACACCGCACCGCTTCCGCTATGTAATACTCCCGCAACCGGTGTAAGGACGGGGGACAAGCTGCGTCACCTCTTTGAACCGAGGCGAACCGTGCAAAGTGCAACACTTGCCTTTCGCGGCTGTAGGCCTAGCTCTCAACATCAAAGTATAGAGGACGCAGCTGAAAGGCAACTGGTTGGTTCCTTTCCAGCAGTTGAGCGGGTTAAGCAGCGCCTACTGGATTGCGACAACTGGTATGTATGTCTGCTGGGGCGAAAAATCACGCATCCTTTGTCTGCCCCCTGCCACTATTATACACCTGCATACACACTATCTACACAGGGGCAACCTCCAACAGTGAATAGCTTTCCGAAAATGTCGGAGGGAGTTTACGACATCAATTCCCGTTCAAAGCGCCACCTGAACGTCGGCACTATTGGACACGTGGGCCATGGCAAGACTACGCTGACTGCCGCTATCACTAAGGTTGTCACAACTTCACCCCTTGGACAAGGCATTCGGAATGCAGGACTTCTGCGGGTTGCCGCACCTAACAGAATCAAGCGCAAAAGTTTAGTAGTAATGATTCTTTGCCTACCCAATCCCTTCAGGTTCTGTCCGAGACGAACGGCACCAAGGCTGTCGGTTACGACGAGCTTGATAAGGTGGGTCCTGTGGGCAGTTCAGCTAGCCCTTGGCTCGCGCTCTCGGATTGCGAGCTCTTAGGCAGCCTCAGCAACTAAGGTCTGGAAGCGCCACCGGGACGGCACCACTTATTAGCCACAGGAAGCATGTGAGGAGGGACGCAGGGCTCAGCAGGCTTCGGCCACCGTGCCTATGACTACGAAAAGTCTGTATTCATACGTGGGTTCGGCATGTGCCGCGGCATGCTCCTTCTACCCTTTCGGACCCGTTGCCGTCCGCTCCCGCTTCCCCTGCATGCAGACTCCTGAGGAGAAGGCTCGCGGTATCAGCATCCATGCCACCCACGGTGCGAGGTTGGGGTATGCCGGGGATGGGTCGTGTCGCACAGCGGGGTCCATGCACTTGCAGAGCGCTGGTAGGGCAGCGCGAGGTAGCGGTAGGGGCTGAATCGGCCGGGACACGCATGTAGAGTCGCGAGATGGTGGCTGGGGGAAGGGACGTGGAGTGAGGAAGTCTTCCGTCTTCTCCCAGGGATCAGCAGTTTTTAATTTGTTAAAACCTTGCAAACCCAAAGGGCCATGCACCCTTTTGGCAGCGAGCATACAAATAGACACGCCGTCACACTACCTGGCGGTGCATCTGCACGTCGCCTGCATGTTGCCACGATACCTCTCGCCCCACGCAGTTGAGTACCAGGCGGAGAACCGCCACTTCGCGCACGTGGACTGCCCAGGCCACGTCGAGTATGTGAATAACATGATTACCGGCGCGGCGCAGGTGTGGGCAGTTCGCTGGCGTGGCTGGGTTTGTCGTCCTAGGCCGCACACGTCAGCGTTGCCGATGATGCAGTGCAGTAGGGTCCTGCTGCCGGTCCCGTGCACTTGCTGCTGCTGCATGGAGCTGCTCGGCCCCCCCTGCAACCCTGTGTTCCCCTGGCCCCAACCCTATGGCTGCAGATGGACGTCGCCATCCTGGTGGTGTCCGCTGCGGACGGCCCCATGCCTCAGACCCGCGAGCATCTCCTGCTGGCCAGGCAGGTGCGATGAAGGATCAGAGCGGCGGAGGGGCGGGCGCAGAGGGGGAAGGGGGGGCCAGCATGGGGGATCGGGTGGTTCGCGGTCGGAAGTGGGGCCAAAGCTGCTGCAGCGTGGCGAGGGAGCAAAGACTGCTATAGCTGTACGGTACCTTGAAGCCTCTAGGTGCGGCTGGGGACGCCGGGGCTCGTTTCTATCGAGTGTATGCTTGCAGGACTCTCCTTGGCCTCTTGGCAGAACTCAATTTATTTCGCACTTGAGTCACCCCAAACCTGCGTCCCACTCCGTCCCCAACCTGCTGCAGATGGGTGTCCGCCACATTGTGGTGTTTCTGAACAAGTGCGATATGGAAGAGGACGAGGGGAGCCAGGAGGTGGGGGCAAAAGCAAGGAAACTGGCGAGGCAACTAACGAGCTGTATGACAAGGCTTCGCCATGGGGTGCAAACATGGTAGCGGGCGCTGCGGCACAGGAAAAGTGCTGGGAGGACGCGAGTAGGACATGCTTCCGGTGTGTCGTAGCAATCGAGGGTCAAGGCGTCTTACAGCCGCGTGCGGGTGCGAGGGTCTGGTGGCGGGCCCGAACGGCAGCCGCAGCAGCAGCCCTGCTGTCTGACCAGCTGCACCTATCATCATGCTGCCAGCGTCGCTCACACCCACCCTGCCCCGCCTTCTCCACCCCTCCCCCGCAGCTGGTGGAGCTGAAGTTGCGGGAGCTGCTCATCTCGTGCATGTGAGACGCGCAGGGAGGGGATGCAAGAGGGGTCTTCGGACGGTGGATTGCAGCTAAGATGTCTCCCGGCCGGAGTTTGGGGCATGATGGGGCTTGCTGCTTGGTGCACGGCTTGCTACAAGGGCTGGCGGGAGTAGTGTTTAGCCACCCTCATGCGGCAGCGGGTATATAAGGCCCGTCATGCTTGCCGCCCCGTCAGGTTCCCCGGCGACGACATCCCCATTGTGCGCGGCTCCGCCCTCTGCGCCCTGAACGGCGAGCAGTCCGACACCGTGGGCAGGAGCGCCATCCTGAAGCTCGTGCAGGTGGGGACGGGCGGGGGAGCCCTGGGGTTTTGCGGGGGGTGCCCTAGGGCTCCTGCAAACCCATTAGGCATGGCTAGGTCGCCGTGGAGCAGGGCTAGTCTTGCGTGGGTTTTGTAGGGTTTGGATCCTCCAGTCCGTACGTGGCTCTGCACCGGTGGGGTGAGCCACCCTCGGTGTTGTTGTTGTTGCGCGGGACACCTCTGCCTGGAGCAGAGCATGCGACGGTGACAGCGGGGAAGCAGCAGGTCAGCGGCAGACGCGTACATGTGCTGGCTGCTGACATGCCGCCATCATGCCCCCCCCCGTTGCATGATCGCAGGCGTTGGATGAGTACGTGGAGGAGCCTGAGCGCCTCACCGGCCTGCCCTTCCTGATGCCCATTGAGGATGTCTACTCCATTGCCGGCAGCGGTACCGTCGTTATTGGCCGCATCAAGCGGGGTGGGTGGCTAGCGGCGCGGAAGAGGAAGGCAGAGAGAGTGTTCTGCCTTCCTCTGGTGTGCCGTGTGGTTAGTTGACAGATGCCGAGGATGCGGCTCGAACTGGAATGGCTAGCTGGGTGCTTAGCCTACAGCGACCTTGCACATTGCCGGAAGCGTTTCCATGCCTGCCGGATGCTTCTGCTTAGTTAGCCCTGGAGCCTCTGGGTAAGCATTTCGCTCGACACCTTGCACGTTTTCGTCCCCAGGTGTGGTGAAGCCCGGTGATGAAGTGGAGATCATTGGCCTGAGAGACACCATCAAGAGCACCGTCACCAGTGTTGAGATGTTCAAGCAGAGCCTAAGCGAGGTGTGCAGGAGCGACTTCACAAAATGGAGCATGCGTTCGCTGAAGAGGCCAGCGAAGAGGTCGATGCATGCATGGCGGGGGTTTGGTGGGTGCTGACCTGCGACCCTGTTGCCATCTGGCCTGATTAGTCCGCATCCCACTGTCCGCTGGGCTCTCCATGCTGACACGGCCCTTGTCCGCTCACGCGGTCACGCTGCCCTGCCCTGCGTCCTTCCCCTCTTGTAGGGCCAGGCGGGTGACTACGTGGGTCTGCTGATCGATGGCGTTAAGCGTGAGGACGTGTCGCGAGGACAAGCGGTGTGCAAGGCGGGCAGCATGCAGCCCTTCAAGGTGAGGCGGATGGGGTTTGACGTTGTGGTGCGCGCTGGTCTTTATTGGCTGACGGCGCGGATGACGCATACAGAGGGGAATCCAATGCGTGCAAAGGGTGCGTTGGGACTGGCGTAAGCCCCATCAGGTGTCGGGAGGAAGGTTACCCGCAAGGTTGTACAGCAAGTCTGAGTACGAACCGTGGCACTCCCAATTACCGTTGTGTTATGAATCCGCTCACGTGAGATCTGTGGCCCGCGCAACCACACGTGCTAAAATACGCCTGCTGCAGCAATTCGATGGGGAGTTCTACGCGCTGTCCAAGGAGGAGGGCGGCCGCCACAAACCCTTCGGCAAAAAGTACAAGCCGCAGTTCATCATCGGCACCGCTGGCGTCTCGGGTGGGTGGCCTTGACAGCACACCCGGAGCAGTCCTCTGCGGCGGCCGGAAGTTCCGGAAGACCTTGGACCTCCGGAAGGACCCTGCACTGTCCTGTCCACACCCCCACAGCTCACCAGGCACCTCATGTCGCGCCCTGTGACTCCCCGACCCTGCAGGCCATATCGTCCTGCCCGAGAGTACTGAAATGGTGATGCCCGGCGACAACTTCACTGCCAGGGTCGAGCTGCTGGCGCCCGTGGCCATGCAGGTGGGAGTGCTGGGAGGGATGAGGGTTAAAGGGCGCCGCTTTGTCGTGGGGTGCCGGGTTCTGGTGGTTTGGCTGGTCGGGTGGAAAGCACAGAAACGAGATGAAGTTGCACTGCGGGGCAGTGTTAATGCACGCATTGTAGGCAGACCCGGACCCGTCGGCAAATGCGGACTTGGTGAACCCTTTTATCTCTGCTTTTGACATGATTTGACCAATCCGTGGGGCCCAAATGTGTTGCAGGAGAACATGTACGTCGCCGTCCGCGACTCAGACAAGACGGTAGCCGTGGGCGTGATCAACAAGGTGCACGCATGAAGAAGCGTGCTGAAAAACGAAGCTGGGCAAGGTTAGGAGTAGCGGCTCGGACGCATGGACGAGTTGTCGAGGCCAATGAATGGTGGCAAGTAGTGCATATTAGTGGATCTGCCGTGTAACGGTGCATACGGTTGCCTCATTGAGATGGCATCGATGACGAGGATTGAGTAAACCTTTGGCGGAGTGCGGGTGGCTGCAGGCAAGAACAAGTATACCGAAATGAAGGACAGCGTCAAGGAGGACCATCCGTAGGGTACCTGTTTGTTCCAGCTATTGTAACACTTAACTGGCAGCGCCATATCTGCGTCTGCAAGACTAATGCTGACTAACACAGTCAATCTTCAGTTTCTCTAGCATGCATGCCTGCATGCACTTTCCTCTTTTGCTGTCTTACACCATTTGTCACTGCGTAGCAAGGCCTCTAGGGCGGCAGCAGGCAGCGCCTGCATCTGCTGCTTAGCTTCCGGATCACTGAGCAGCGAGGGGGCGTCACCGAAGGCCCAGGCAAGCATTTCGCTGGATACAGCGCCGGCTGATGTTGCAGCCGCTGCTAGGGGCGCCGCAACAGCGCCGGCAGCGGTGCCGCTAACGGCAGCGGCGGCGTTGTTGGTTCCGCCGGTGGTTGCGGCAGTTGCGAGGGAATGAACCGAGGCGAACCGTGCAAAGACTCTGCGCCGCTCCATTTCGTTGGCTCGCCCCGATTAGGGGCGTAGTCTTAGCGTTCACTCAAAATAGTCCGGGCCGAGGCGTTATGTCCTTTTTGTACCGTGTGCATGTCCTATGTGTATCCCTGTACATTCTACATGTACCTGCACCGAGGTCGCAGATTCGGTCAGACAAGGTGGCATTGTATGTGCTGTTGTGTTTTGAACATAACGGCATGTCGAAAAAAGAGAGAGGCTCAGAGTTCAGAAGATTACGATTACGATTACATGGTACGGTGTAGGGCCCTCCCGCCCTACCGCACAACCTTGTGGCAACCTGCCGCTGCGAGGCACGTTACACCATGAATCAAGTCGGTCCGCGGCAGGTCACAGCCGTGGTGTTTATTCAAATATACTAATGCTCTTTATGATGAAGTCTTACCGGCGCAGGGAAGGGCGAGTTGAGAGTCGCGAGTCGGGTCATGAGTCGTTTGACGGCGTTTTGCCAGCAACAATAGAAGGAAGAATAAGGGATTCAAGGAATAATGCAGATGCTTAATTACTTTACGGTTCGCAAAACAGATAGTGCGGCTGACGGTCCAACGATTGGCGACCGGTCTAGCCGATAGATGGAAGCGTATAGACGGTTACGTAATTGATTACGAGAGGGCTCTGCAGGGCTTGTCGAGTCTCCTATGCAGCCCCTTTTCGAGTGCTGGTTGTATCTGGGCGTTTGGGATGAACAGGGCTTTCAATTTGTGCTGGCAGGGCTTCGCCCAGGGTAGCTGGGTGGGCTGTAGGCCATCTGATGACGTGTGAAGTTGAGACATGGCGGCGGATGACGTAGCCGGCAGAACGTCATGGTCGTACAGAAGCTTCTATAGGCTTCTGGGCGCCTGTATGCTTCCACACGCCCTGCCCAAAGCCCGGCGCGCCCATGCAGTCCCCGAACTGGCCAACAACAAGCGTGCATGCGGGCAGGCCAACGCCCCGTCCTCAAAGCCCGGATGTGCAAAGCGTTGCGACACGGCATGCCATAAAAGGGCGGGACAGACCACACTTGACCGCACCATACCGCGCCAGCACGCTGCTGCAGGCAGTTCATAGCACCTCCTATCCACCTCAGGAATAGGCAAAGGATGCTGGTGGGGCCGTGGTGCCACAGACCGCTACTGCTAGGCCCCTAAGCACAGCCTACATACCTGGCTTTTCAGTATCCGCCCTTGCCACACATACGTTGTTATGTCTCCCATTTCAGTTTCCAAGGGCCCGCCTCCATCTTCCCTGCTTCCAGCCCTCATCGGCGGAACCATCTGTCTCCATGTAGCTGCCTCCTCATCTCCAGGCCTCCCAGCTCCCTGCTTGGATCACTGCTACGCGTGACACACACCCATTCGCATAAACACCCGAGGAGAGGCCGTACCAAAGTACGGGAGGCCCGGGCGTGCAGCCATCGCCCTGTTGAACCCATGCATGCAGGCATCTCTGCCCCGCGAGCTAGAATGGACATGCATCCCCGCCCACATGGACATGCATCCCCGCCCTTGATGGCCATCGGTGCTGAAGTAGAAATCCTCTCGTCCTGACGGAAATTGGCGCCATGCATGCAAGCATCACCACCCTTCCCAACCACCTGCGCCCAAGCATCCCTGTCGTACCCACGCATGCATCGACACCGATACGTCAATGCATACCAACCCGGCAATATCCACCTGGCCCATAAACCGGCACCGTTACATGCATGCGTACCAGCGATGCCCAACTACGAGCGTCCAAGCGGTACACACAATTACCGCGCCCATTTACCACCGCTCCCGATTTATGTACGCATGCATCCCCGCTCTGCCCAAGTACCGACGCCAATGCGCGCCTGACACACCCCCATCCTACACAACCACCCGCGGCCATGGAACCAGCGCCTCCGCCCTGCTCACAAATTGGCGCAAATGCTCGCAGGAATGGGGGCATGGGGAAGCAGGAGCTGGGCATGGGGGCAAGCGCCGCGTGGGTGAGGACAAGCACATGGGGAGGGCATGGGGAGGCAGGCACTGCACGGTGGGCCGCAAGAAGCCCGCAAGTGCGCTGCACGGGGAAGAACATGGGGAGGCAGGCGCCCGGCGGGAAAGGGGAGCTGCATGGGTTAGGTCATTGGAAGGCAAGCGTGCGCCGCGCGGGTAATGGCAGCCGCATGGAGTGGCCATGGGGAGACAGGTGCAGCACAGGGCAGCCACGCGGAAAAGGGAATACATTGGGAGGCAAGAACCGCACGAAGGGCAGGGGGGCGTTGCATGTGGAACGGCGGCCGCACGGGCAAGGGAATGGGGCCGCACCGGGAAAGGCAGGTGGATGCAGGCGCAGCCCGGGGTAGGGCAGGCCCGGGTGCGTCCTTCCACGCGCTGTCCAAGTACCGGCGCCTGCACGCACATGCATCCTTGCGCTGCTGAACCACCGGCGCCAACACGTTCTGGCCAAGCCCGACGTGTCCATGCAGTCCCCACACTGCCCGACAACAAGCGTGCATGCGAGCAGGCATGCCCTCCCGATCTGCGGCAAATGCCAAAGGCCCCATCCGCACGCTGCTAGCGCTACATAGTGTTATTGCCGCGGCTCCTGCTCAGGCCAACGCCCCGTACTTGAAGCCCGGGTGTGCAAAGCCTTGCGACACTACAGGCCTTCAAAGTGCGGGACAGATCCCCACGTGTACCTTTGTATGTCCTCCACTGCAGTCTCCAGGGCCCGCTTCCACCACCCCTGCCGCCAGCCCCTACTCGACAAGCCTACTCCACCTATCCTCGATATCATCGCTCTGCTGCTACGCCGCTTTCCCCACCCATGGCGGCAACGGCGACATCATCAAAGAGATACTGGAGCCGCTGAGGTCCACCGTTGACATCAGCGCCAGCGGCACTGGCAGCGTGAACAGCTGGCTACTCCAACGAAAGCTACGTCAGCTTCTCATCATGATGCAAGACGTCGCCACGGCGAGACGATAGACCAACGCCAGTTCAATTTTCACAACGTAGGCGCTTGCCCTCTTAACCGTTTTATCAATAGCCCAATGGCACCGTCGCCATACGGTAACTTCGTCTCAGCATTCCTCGCGATGTCCATGGCCTAAGGTCTACTGCTTAAATTCTTGCACGTGATTCAAGGTTGCTTAAAAGGGCTTTCTGAAATTGTAATTAACTAAGCCAACTCGCAAGATACAGAAAGTGTCCCTAATTTGCAAGGCTTCGCTTGCTGAAAAGCACCAGTCATAACCTTTACACAAACAAAGATGAATTGTGTTTGTAGGATAAGGAACGGTTGTCTCCTGGCTATCCCCGTGCCCGGGTAGTCGTACAATGCCTCTGGCGGTGAACGGAGGGGTGGCAGGCGGTTTGCAAAAGCGCTGTTGGAAACTTTGTGTAGATGATTCGTAATCTACATAGCAATGTCATTGTATTGTTGTAAAGCAACATTTAGCCCATAAGCCAAGGTATTCTTGTTGTGCAACCCTCAAGGCTATTTTGCCTCTTGCAATTAACTAAACCGGTAAACTGGATATATCGGTTAATATGTAGAAAGTTTAGTTGTAGATCAAACAAACAGCTTAGCAAAGGCAGCCGCTGCCACAAAGTGGTCATCGTCCCACACAGAATTTTGCGGCAGAAGCGGACTGTTCGGAAAGACTGCTTTAAGGCGTGCCGCCCGGTGGAGCGGCGAATCATTGCGTTACACAACCCATATGCCACCATTGTCGAGCTGCCCCGCGGCGGGCACCAGCAGCAGCGCGGCGGAATGATCAACGTGCCCGTTCGAATAGAAGAAGCCATTGGTGCACTGCTGCGGTCCATTGGTCACACAGGCACGCCCACGGACCGCACTGACGCATCTACGCAGAGCACTAACATGTAATACGCATGGGTGCCGCTGGTCCTAGGTCCGAAGCGACCTAGGCGTACGGCACCCGCCACAAGGATTCCCGCTTTCTGCAGCTTTCTGTGCTTTAGAAAGCTTTAATAGCTGCCCAATAATTATTGGAAGTGATTGGTGTCCCTTCGGGACAAACCACTATTGTTGCGCGCTCGCGACCGCGTCGTCAGCCCTCCCATCCAGCGAAGCTCAATGGCTTCCCCATTCAATGTCCAAAAGGAGAATGTCTATGCCCTGAAACCTTCCCTCCTCGAATAAGCTTGCTAAGATGATTAAGGTGCGCCGTCAGGGAACGTTGAAGGGAGGCCGGTAGCTGTCCAGCACCATGTGTTACCGAGTCAGCCAGCCGCAACATACACGGGGCAACAACACTTTGCTGTGGTGCCAGTGCTGCTACCCCTCTGTACCGGTCCCTGCTCTCCTGGTATGTCCTCAAGCTGGGCGCCTGTGATGTTGCTGTGGCAACAACCTTTCCTAGGATTTCCATGCTCGGAGCCCATCGAGAAAGGCTTGCACGCATGAGGGTGTTTCCAATAGTGCCCTCTGGAGGACACATGCATAGTGCTGACTCCACCCGGCCTTGGTCTCACTTGTCTCGCTTGTACCCACACACAGACTGGCACTGGTGGTTTCCAAGGCACTGGTAGTAGAAGCACGGACTGCCAGGACATGCATGCCGAACTTGTCCGCTTTGAAGGTGTGACAGCAGCAGGCCGTGTTAAAGACGAAAGCCG